TTATTTATGTATTCTTCCCTTTTATGAGGTTTATTTGCAACAAACACCTTTTACTTCTACGATATTGTAGCTAGATAGGATAAGATAGTATATAATATGATAAAGAAAAAAATAAAATGAAATTTCATCTTCACATGCGTTTAGTGTATATCTTAGAAATGCCTTCCTCCAATATAAATTGGAAAACCATTGAAAATGATTGCTACAGTTGGAAATTCTCTCCAATGACTTGGACCAGAGAAAGAAAAGTCAATCAAGCATGGTACGAGATAATTGAAAACAACATTGTCTTGCATTGCATATTACACTCGTTATATACATTTTGATATCCTCCTTAACTTTTGTTCTAATGAATTGAAATCTTTTATAAGAAATCGGAGGTACATGTGACGATTTATTTGGGAAATCCTCAACGAAGATGAAATCTCCAATCACAGATTTTTATAAAATCCATCTTATTTTCATTCAATTGCTACAAGATCAACTATTCCGTAAGCTTGGGCTTCCGCAAAAACGTCCCAACACATGAAAGCCAACTTAGATTAACTCATCTCGAATTAAATTATTGTTGAATTTTCAATTCAAATTTAACTATGGTGTTCATTATTTATATCACGTCATATAAGTACCCCGTCCCACCTCAAGTAAAGCTTCCACTGACCAATAATGAAGTCACATTGCTATACTCATAAATGACCATCTGGCAAAGGTCCCAATAAAGGGGGAGAAATTGACATCCCTACACTATAAAGGTTGGACATGTTTAAAAGAATTATGGACATGTAACTGCACCAGTTCAGGCTCTCTTAGTTCAACACTTCATGCAGAGAAAAAATGTAGCCATCAATTAAACAAAGTACACATCAATGGCATGTGCCAATGCCAGAACCACCCACAGATCCAATGCATACAAGGATAAGCTTGTGCCCCTTTAAGATAGCATAGGACCCATGCCCTTGCATTGTTAGAGAAAGCACGATAGTAAAGAAGTACTAGATCTTACTAATACTGCATAACAAACATGCACGATATGTATGTCTTGGACTAATTTTGTAATGACGGAGTATTTGGAAGTTATGAAAATAACGGTGGGCAAGATACATTTGTACCGCGTATTTCTCTACCCTCTCTCCCTCTTGTATACGTATATGACGTGTTTGTTTACGTTAGATTATACTAGATTAGGCAAAACAACCAATCAAGTTTTGTCACATGTTCTTCTTCATAATTTCTGTCGGATCTAATTCAATCTAGCATACTAAATATCTCCGTGTTAAAATCATTCCATCATATATTTTGCAATCTAAATATGAAGTTTTTGGTTGAACAATTGAAACACGACTTCCATCTATAAGCATGTTGCACACATTAAATCGAGATAGCTAAATAGAACATTAGTTTGTTGTGACGTTCTTGAATCAATTGGAGTAGAACTATGCATCTGCTCTCTATCCTTAAGAGTAAATTCTCATTCCAGTGGAAAATGGTAAAATGTTCAATTTTAGAATGACAAATATGTGTGTGTTATAAATATATACACAGAAATGATATCCTAAACACTGATGCTTGCTTATGCAATTAGACAAAGAGTAGGATTAAGGGAGAGGGGCCGAGAAAGATGGGCCATTCAAGAAATTAGAGGGGCCACAAAGCCCATAATAATGGAAAAAGATAGAGAGTAGCTCACATGAAGAGGAGAAAGCAATTTGTAAACATACAAGTCTTATCTCTTTAGGCTTCACCAATTAACCCTACCTTATTTTAGCCTTTTCTGGTATCAATTATGCAAGCAACAAATGATTAAAAGATAACATGTCAAAAAAGAAGAAGAAAAATCATTTGCTAAGCCCAAAACTTCCAAAATCTTCACAATCTTGACCCTCTTTGTGCTCGAATTCTCATCTTTAGATCAGGGAAGATGACGGACTTTTTTTTTTTTTTTAACAAAACAATCAAATATTGTCCGATCTATCTTATCAAATACGACAGATAAACGAATTTGATTTATCCTACTCATTTTTGGGATTGGTCCTCTATGAGCGTATGCCCATTAGCAACTGAAAAGTGCCTAACTGCCTATGGTTTCCCCACCTTAAAAAAGGTTTTGTTCCTTCACATGGTGGCCCAATTCTAAGTTTTGATAATGTAGGTCCATTTCTTTGTTCACAACCCTACTAAAGTAGACTACTAATGTCTTTGGTTTGGAACTTAGATAGACTTCCATTTGGTAACGTTGAACGTGCGTTAAAATGACGTTTCAATAACAAAGATGAATAGTAGTTCGATTCCCTAGAATTGTTAATTGGTTTTTGAGGTTTAGGAACAAATTTATACATGCGATTGAAATAAAGAGACACTGCCACTTCCATTACAATTCAAAAGTTATTTTCAAATGAATAAACTCTCAACTCACAAGAATTATAATTCGAGTTTTAAGGTTTAGGAACAAACTTTCATGTGCAATTGAAACAGAGAGAATGCCACTAACAAGAATTACAAGTCGAAGTTTTTTTAAAAATACATATTTTTTTACTTATTATAATTAAAAAATAAATCTAAAACAATTTTTACATATGATAGTTGGTCAAAATTTTGAAGATTTCAATGCATCTTTGCAAGAAATTAATAACGATTGTCAGAATGTGACACCTGAGAATAATTAATCACAAGATTTTTAGCAAAAGAGCCAGATGATTGCAGTCAAAGGCACCTTTGACCCTTCAACTTTCAGAGCCACATCGATTCCTGATATTTGCCAAACACTTCCTAACTGTGATTCGTGTGATTAAAAGATACAACCAAACTTACCTTGTCTAGATATTTGAAATTCTTAAGTACTAGAATTACTCACAATTTGATCAAGAAATCACATTTTTCTTCCACTTAGGGTCCGTTTGATTGCAAAGTTGGAAAATGGGTGGAAAGAAAATGTTTTACAGGGAATTGATTTTCCTAGAAAATGTTTTACTGGGAATGGTAATTAATTGTGTTTGATTGGTATAATTTTCCACCTGAAAAATGTTGAAAGTTTGGTGTCCGTTTAACTTCATTTTTTATGAAAATTGTCCATTAAAGTGATAATTTTTTCTACCATTGC